CCAGGACTCGAAACCAGGCCTGCCTTTGCTGTAAATGGTTGGGGAACAGAGGGAGCGTGTACCACCCCTGCGTAGCCAACCAATGCCGCCCCGCCCCACGGCTGCTGGAGGGGGCAGTTGAGGGGAAGGGGAAGGGGGAGGGGGCGGGCACCAGAGGGAGGGGGTTTCTGCTCATTGCTGCCTCCACTCTGCAGCCACACAGAGCACAAATGCCAGTAGGGACAGGGGCTCAGCTTCTGGAACATCTGCTGCCACACCCCCGCCCCATAGGAAGGCAGCAGCTGTTCAGTTGGCGCGGCCTTAGTGGGGTTAAATCCCTCCTGGCCTCCCCCCACACCACCGGAGGGACGCTTCGTTCTGACCCAGGCCCACCTCACAGGAATCTGACAAAGACTTTTAAGTTCCGGGATGACAGGTCCTTCCAAGTTCTTCCAACCTGCCTCCCAACCAGCCCACTACTGCCCATGTCTGTGTCACAGAGCTGGGCTTGGAGGGTGGCCTGTACCCTGCTTCTGAAGCTGTCTTAGCTCATCCTGTAACATGTCAGGTAGGCCTGATCAGACTCTGTGCACCCTAGGCAAATCTCCCAACTTGAAATGTTTGTCCCGAGGGAACAAACATTCTTCACATCTTCCTTCCTCCTGACGCCCTCTGTGGGGCCCTGTGCTGGGGCCAAGGTCTAGAGGCCTGGGTGCTTATCAGAGATGCCTAAACTCCCTTCACAGGCAGGGTGATAACAGAAGGAGGCTCTTTCCAGAATGACTGGACATTCAAAGGCATCTGGCCCTGAACTCTGAGTAGTAAATGGAGCAGGGAGCAATCTTTTTCCAATTCCGTTTTATTATCAGACCTGCATATGGCAACTACTATTATGATATAGACGGTTGATATGCATTGACATTTCAAGTGCTTGATAGGTGCCAGACTGTCTGAAGTGCTTTCTAGGCATGCTTTCATTTAATCCCCGTACACCTTTAAGAAGGGGGTATGTTTAGTCTCTTTTAGAAGAAGAAACTGAAGCTCAGAGACGTTAAGTAACTTGCCCAAAGTCACAAAGCCAGTAAGTAGCAGAGTCAGGGTTTAAACCTAGATGGTCTGATTCTAGAGCCCGGGGGTGTAACCACTTTGCAATAATCACTCCAGGAGGGCCCCCTGAGGGCCCCTGCAAGCCTCCTGGGGGAAGCCACCCTTCAGCAGGAGGTCAAGGAGGAGGGAAGGCAGACGCTGAGGGCTCGGCAGACCAGAAAGGCCCCTGGCTCTCACTCTTACACGTGTGCACACCTTGGCGGCCAAGGTCAGCCGTGCCTCCCAGCTGCGGTCTAGCCTTACCTTCTTTACAGTCGTGCCCATTCTCGTGGAGCCGGTAACCGTTTCTGCACCGGCACAGATAGCTCCCAGACGTGTTGACGCACTCGTGCTGGCA